GCTGAACCTTTATTCCCTCCACTCTGGTGTCAGATTCTCATTTCTCATGGAAACAGCCTGCTCTGCTAGAAGGGGGAGTTAGGGGTGACCCAAACAAGGGGTGCTAGACACAGCAACCTTGATCTTCACGAGGTGCAGCCCAGCCACAGAGAGGCAGCCTGGGAGACCACAGCCAAAACTGCCAAAAGTTTCTGGTACAAACTAGTCCTTCTTGTGCTGGCTACAAACTCCTAATGCAGCCCAAGCCTCCTCTGCCCGCACAGGCTGCTTGGGGCAAGATATGTCACTAACTACCTCTACGGATCTGCCAGGTCAGGAAATCAGATAAGATCAGAAACACTTGTGGCTGCTCTTCAGGTCCCAGAAATACAAGTTGAAGCAGGACTAAGGACATGAGCAGGGGACAAAAGCTGCTTTGCCCCCTGCTCAGGGGTTTCCTGGTAATTGCTGCCCTGGGGTACCCTATTTCAAAGCGAGGAACCTCTCCACCCTCCACAGCATTTCCAGGGGGTCTAAGGAGGCTGTTACTCTCCTCTCTCTGAAGTTGCAGGGATTCATGTGATCTTCCATAACTGGGAAACAAACCCAACTCTGGAAGTCAAGACACCTCCCCCCATGTCCAGCTGCTGTCCCTGAGCTAGACCCACTGTGGCCGTGGACCAGGTCTCCCATGAGCCAGTTCCTCTCTGTAGCTAGTCCCTAGTAAGGAATGAGACCTTCACAAAAAACTATGCTTCTCCTAAACTAGTTCAAGTCCTTAGGAGCAGAGAAAGTCACCATCATCAATAAAAAAAGTAAATCAGCTTTACCGGCCGAGGAGCAGGACTTCTGAGTTCCCAGGAGCCAGAGAAGGTGGGCAGCTGCCCAGCGCCAGCTGCAGAAGGCAGCATTTACTTCTCTCCCTCCTGTTGTTTTTATTTTGGTGATTTAGTCTGAAGGTCAAAGGAAAGTCTGAAGGAGTGGCTTATGGCAGGAAGTAAATGATTACCCTGTCATCACTTAGAGGGGCCTGAGGCACAGGAACTGGGGTGGGAGAGAAAAAAATACCTCCTTGCAGGGATTTGGAGGGCAGCTCACCTCAAAGGGAAGTGCAAAGGGTTAGAACAAAGTGCTCCATTTTCTGGAAGCTATGCTGGGTCACATGCCAGGTCCTAGTAGAGGTAATGAGGCATGTGTCACCTCCAAAACACCAGCAGCGCCAGGCAGCAGGGATCCGGTAGAAGTCCTGGATCTGGACATGATCCATGATTGATCCACCTGAGCTTGCTGGTGAAGGAATAGCTGTGCAAGGTTGTCCATCCACCATGGATCTTTGTCACCTTGCAGCACAGCACGTGTGAGCCTTCACTAGCCCTTGCATGGGGGCTTAGCTGGACAGGAGATCCAGGGACGTTTCCAAGCTTGAGCTTTGCGGGTACAACAGACCTATAGCCTCATTTTTGTCTCCTGCATAATATTTCTCTGGCTCCATGTTCTCCATCCTGCATGACACACTTGCTCCTTGTTCCTCTCCATTCCCCTCTGGGCCTGCCGGGTCCCCTCTGTAAGCTCTCTTCTTGCATTCCCAGGTCCCCTCCAATCTCCCCTGTGAACACCCCGCTCCACTCCATGCCCCCTACTTGCACTCCCTGTGCTGAGAAATACCCCTCCGTGGAGCTGTGCTGGCTTCACAGACCCTGAAGGAAGTCTGCCAGCCCACCTCCCTCCTTGATGGCAGGGACAGGAACTTCACAGCAAGAGCAGGACATGCCGCAGGATCCTCTCCCAGGGCCTAAGGCAGCAACAGGCACCCTGGAGAGGCTGGGGTACGTCACCAAACCTGCCCAGCACCGCAAAGGACCAGCGGTGCACTGTGTGGACTCCTATGCAGCTGCCTGGTTCAGCATGCTGATGGACTTGCTGCCTCTCCCCCCCCCTTTTTTTTTTTTCTTAGCAGAGGCTAAAGGACAGCATTTCTAATCACAGCTGCTATGGACCGATTACTTCAAGCATAAGCACTGTGGTTCACCCTAAATGTGTTTTCCCTCTGCCCTACCTTATACCACCAGCTAATACCACCCTAAGGAAACCTGTAGCTCCTTGCCTGAAATACAAACTTCGTATGCATAGGGCATTTTCTGATTATGCGGGAAGGTTTCTTTTGACTTAAAAGATCTTTTGCATCCGCCCCTCTCATGGAGCAGGACCATGACATTTGGGTCACACAGCCTTGAAAAAAAAAAAAAAAAAAGGAATTGCATCACAGTTCCTTGCATGTTTATCAACCCATTTACCTCTCCATCCCCACACTGGCACATATACCTCCCAGCTGGGCCTGGGGAGTCCAGCTCAAAGAGGAGAAAGAAAAAGGGTTGCTGTAAAAAGAATAGGGTCACTCTGTATAAGGGGAGGCCGTTAGAAAAGGAGAAGCGTGAGCTGAGGCAGGATTTGAATACACAAAAGGGCATAGAGATGTGATTATAAAAATTAGCAGATGGACAACATCAGTTAGAAGAAAACATACAGCTGCCATCAAAATAAATATTTTTGGGAGCAGTCTTAGATATACAGTTTGAGGAATTCGAGGTTCTTTAGGCCAAGACAGTCAATTGCTGTTCTTGCCAAGGTCACTGACTCCACGTACCGGGGTAAAATGCAGAGCCATAATTATGCCTTTTTGAGCTCTGGCACCATAACCACCATGCAGAGAGGGAGTGGGCTAAGCCTTCCCCTCACTGTAGCTCCCTTCGATGTTTCTGTTCGGTGGTACAGCAGTACAAGTGCATGATGATAATGAATATCTTATATTACACTGGTGTCTAGGGGGACTAACCCAAATAGAGGTCCCTATTGTATTTGAAGAACTGTAAAGACAGAGAGATAAAGCAATCTGTTTCCTTCCAGTGCAGAGAAAGCCTTTGTTTTATTCATTTCCAGAGTGAGAAGGTTCAGTACAACACATGACCAAAAGCTACAGACAAAAAGCCATTTGGAATAGAAATCGTGCTTTCCCATCATGCTAGCTTTTCAGAAAGTTTCTTTGTCTGATTCTTTGCCATTATTCGGGATTTGTTTTGATCACCTCACTGCATTCCCTGCTTGAAGGCTGCACATCTGTGGCAAAATTGCGTTCACACAACTTGCACTAGCATCAGCACGGCACCAGGATGTCTGCTCCAGCAGGCTGGGCCTGGCCTGTGCGCATTTAAAGCCCGAGTCACAAGGGCTGCACAAACAACCGCACTCATTTTAGCCTCGGACAAGTTTAGAGGACAAAGCCTCGGCTTATTGCTTCAGCTCGCTGAGTGTGTTGGTTTCGCAAGCAGGGCGCTGCACATGCGTCAGCCGCGAGCGTGCAGCAGCAGCCCGACAGAAACGCGCAGGAGGGCGCTTGAGCAGAGCTGACAGCACGACAAAGCCTGTTTGGTTTTTCAGAGTGATCTCTGACTTCACCACAGCTGGAAACTACAGCGGGCCAGACTGAGATGCCCTGTCATCCTCTGCATCCAGCACAGCCTATTCCAAGGCATCACAGCGGAGGCCTAACTGCCTTGCAAAGGGGATTCCCACCTCCGCAGATCCTCCTTCCTGCCAGCATCCCAGGTCAAGGGAGGACAGGAGCCATGCAAGCAGAGCAGTGCCAAGGGTGCCGGGCCGGGAGCACTTTGCTTGGTGCACGTCAGCTCAAAAAGGAGTAGGCAGTGTCCTCTCTGCTCCCAGGAGGTATGTGCACGCACAGGTCTGCGCAGCGGCGTGTTTCAGAAGTAGGACCTACGAGTGGGAACTGTCTCTCTAGCCCAGGTAGCTCTGTTCCCGTGGGAGCTGGTGCATGAGGCAGGCTGCTCGTAGGCAGGACCTGGGTGCACACACCTCATATCGAGCAATGGTCTCTGCTCATACTTGCCTGGTTTTTCCCATGGCACAGGTCAAGGGAGGGAACAAGGAGGCCTCAGCTGTTCTGGCTTTCCCCCACCATCCTGGTAAAGGCACAGACCCTACTACAGCCCCAAATACCCTCAGAGCAGGAGCCATTTTTGTTCACAAGAAAAAAAAAAAAGGTTTAAATTAGACTTGAAACCTCTGCAAAGCTAAAGTGCCATAAGACATTTTCCATCATCTTGTGCCCTAAACCAGAAAGCCTTTAGCCCCTGAAAAAACACAAAAACATCAGAAAAGTTAGTCTGTGAGCATCCTCCATTCACATGGATGCAGCCACCTGCAAGGACAGGTGAGCAAGCTGTGCTACCACTGCAGCAGATGCAGATGTCTTGGGCACATCCATTTGCCTCCTGCAACCTGAAGGGGGAACACAGGGAGGAGGACCCTAAAACCACAGCATACAGATGCACAAAGAAGCAGGTAAACTTCCCAGGGGTCCTCAGCTCCTCACTTACTCCCAGGGCCCAAAGGGTTATCTCAGCCTGACAAGGGGCAGGGAGAGGGGGGAACGACAGGGAGGATCTCCTCCCCTGCTGGTCCCTTCACAACACCCTAGGGAGAAAACCGAGCTGAAGCAGGTCACAGCAAAGAAGAGCAACAGAAACCAAGGAAGGAGGTGTCTCAAAGGAAAGGTGACACCAGAGCCCGCACCTACCCCCTGCCCCGTTACCGCAGGCTCCGGCGCGGAGGGAGCCCGGTGATGCCTCGCCGGCCGGGGCCGGGCGAGGGCGCCGCGCTGCCGCCGCCGCCGCCGGGGACTCCGGGAGCGGAGCAGTGCAACGGGAAGGCCGG